TATTATATCATATTTCAATATTCCAATAAGTATGCAAATTAAGTACAACATATATTTTGTAATGACAACATTTTGACCTGTTATTAGATGAACAGCGAGTAATCGAAAACCACGCTTATTCCAGATTAACATAATCCATAAACGTTTTAATCATAGTTAGGTCATTTTTTATTTTTCGCTCAACAATTTTATATTTTATTCATGATTAACAATTAAAGAAGAAAAAACAGTAGAATTAAATAATAATCATTAGTAAAAACATGGAAACCGCAAGTATTCAAAGATATGCAATAAAATATTCTACAAGTAAACCGAATGTTACAAAAACAAACTTTACCTCAACTTAGTTTATTTTATATGAGGTAACGATTAAAAAAAAGATTAGTATATTCAATTCATAACCTGGTATATATATATGTTTATAAATCATAAATTTAATTTAATCCTTCATAAAACAAGTTATACCACTATTATGATTTACATATCCTACACGTATAATGAGAATATATATTAATTTTAAATATTGTATAATCACAAATTGAAAACAGTTATGTTTGAAAAACGCATCATTAAAATTATTCTTTATCTGACCATCATGTTTGGTGCAATAGAAAATGAAATACGATATATATATATTTAAGATTGATTACGTATTGAATTGGATACATAAATGCCTTAAATTGTATTAGTAAATGATTTGTAATGTATGTAACATAATTACTCGTATTAATAGTTATACCGTCGAAAGTGTAGGTGTCGAAGGTTTATTTTGCATAAAATTGTTTTCAACAATAATAATAACAAAAGCTGTGTTTCAAAATGCTTTACACGATTTTTAAACCTATAGAAAAATTATATAATAAATTTAACAGAATTATTAAAATTTTAGTGAGATTTTCTTTAATTTATTGGAAAATTAATAAATGAAATATGTCAAATGAATTAAGTATTTTTTTTTCAACAACTTTAAAGGCCGGTAAGACCCATTGCTGCAATACACACTTCCTTCCATATCTCTCTATCCATTGTTACCTCCCTGTAGTTTTCAACTCCTAACGTTATTAGATCCTTCGAGACTTTATCATGCCATCGTTGTTTAGGTCTGCCTAAGGGCCTCGTGGTTTTCATAAAAACCTCGTGACATCATACATAGCAACGATATCCTTCTATAATTACTACAGTCTATTGCAACTCCCTTTTTATAAATCGGGCATATAATTGATGTATTCCAATCTTCCTATCGTCCATACTTCTTTTATCACATTCCATATCTCTATTTTTAGATTATCTCCTCCATATTTTAATAATTCCGAAACTACTTCATCGTTTCCTGCAGCTTTATTATTTTTGAGCACTTTAACTGCAACTTTGATTTCCTCTAAACTAGGTTCTTTATCTTCTGGTTCTACCGATATAAACCCGGTGTTTATTTGGGGTCATCAATAGTCCTGTTTAGTAGGTTTTGAAACACTGTTTTAAATTCCCTTGCTATTTCTGTTTCCTTGGTTATTAGTGTTCCGTTCTTGTCCTTCACGATGGTTATTTTTGGCCGATAGGTTCTTGTTAGCTCGTTGGCTTTTCGAAAAAATGTTTTGAGTTTATATATTCCTCAATCAATCAATCAATCAAATGTGCCAAATAAATTAAATGAGTATAATAACTCATAAAATATGAATTTTAATCCAAGTCCAATAATCAATTTTTTATTAATATTTTTTATTTTAACACACTTCATGACTTGCTAATATCATAGGAGTTGTTCAAACAGATGATCATAAATTTAGTTTAAAATTAGACTAAAATAATTTTTTATATGTCCTTGTACAATGTACTATAATTTGAAGGTTACGTATTATTATTTACCTAAGGTTGAACATACATGTATATTTTTTTGTGTATTGAAGGACAAGTAAAGATTTCTACCTTACTTTATTGAGATTCTTAATTGTACATAACATATATATGCAGTATATTCCGATTTATTTTCAAAAGATTCAACGAGACATAACTTTTTAATTTATCCTATTTTCAATGATAATCCCGCTTGTGAAGTATAATTCTATTATTCCAAAATGCACATAATGGAATATTCATTGTGTATTACATTATATCTATACCTGCAATTAGCGATGATTGTGGGAAAATCGAACTAATAAAATTAATAAATTATTAATTTTTTTACATTTTTTTTCAATTAACGATTTGTTTAGTAAAAACAGATATCGACGTCATTGTTATCAATCAATCGAAATGTGATTTTCAGCGAACCACCAAGTTTGTATAGTAAACTCTAAATGGACCGGAAATAACTAGAAATTATGTAACGATCGCGAAAACGCTACTCGGAACTGAGTCTCACCTAATACGCGTTTACGTGTATATATAAGTATATATAAGATCATTATAGAAAATCGATAGTTCCGTTTTACAACAGAAGCCGCAAGTTTATATTATGTATATTGTTAGGCGAACAGTTTTTAATGTATTATTGAGAGCGTAGAAAACGATATAGGTATTTGACAGTTTGGATGCTATCCAAAACTCATCACGTGCGGCGGTCGGAGAGCCTTATTTATTTATCAGTTTTCGAGACTTGAAAAATACTCGACAACACAATTAATCTTGCCACGCGCCGCACAACACCCCCCGTGAGCGACACCTAGCGCAGTTGTGACGGATTGCCGAAAACTCAATACTTTCTCATCATACTTATGTTATCCGTCGATTAGTTCCGCATTGGACGAAATTATACAAAATTAGTACGAACGCAGTGAAATCACTATTTAGAAATTTCGTTCTAAATATTTATGCAAACAAAGAAGTTTACAATACATTATAATACACCATTCCTTGGAACATAAATTCATTAGTTTCTCGTTCACATTTTTTTGTCTCTTTTCCGAGCGTAAAACGTATGCGCTATGCGCGTACGAACAATTTCAAACATGTGCACGAATAACTTCATATTTTTAATTTAGTTCGATTTTAATTTTACAATAAATTAAATTAAACAGTTCAAGGTAGAAATTAATTGTATAAAAAAATATATATGTTCATGTGATAAACTGCGAAAATGTAATCTGATTCCGAAGTCGGATGGAACGTGCGACTTAAACATAATATCATGTAATAGTAAATTTGTAAAAAAAATTGGTGCTTATATTTTGCTGTTCTGGATGACGAAAATTAATACAAGTATAAGCATTATATTCGGCAAAACATCAAAGCAACGTTGCATTTGATGAAATTTAATAACATAGAAAACATACCTCTTTAAAAAACAGTTTTAAATTTAAATAATTTGACTAAGCTTACAACATAAAACCACTACCATACCCTTCTCCAACCGGTCTCATAAGCTATCCGTGCATCAAAGTTCGATTTTTAAATAAATACGTAGAAAGAGAATAGTCAGACATCCACTCACATTTCATCATGTTGAAGTATCTACATTAAATAAATTTTATTGCTTGTTCCAATTACGAGTACATGAGCTTCGATCCTTATTCATTAAGTAGTTGAATAAATTATCTGCTTAAATCTTGCGCAATTATTGTACACATGCACAGTATGTTAACGTCTACACCAGTATTATCCTACAAATATTTCGTCTAGATAATTATAACAACTAGGCAATTTATACTACCAACCTTATAAAATACTTAATTGTTATTATTTTTATGTTTATATTCTCCTTTTGTTGTCTTATAACAATTTAATCTTACGTCTAACGTGCATCTAGCGCATTACCTACATTAATCTTGTTAAAAATAAACCAAAAATCTTTAATATTATTCATCCATAATTTTGGATAAACTCGGTTAAAAACAACTCATATATTAGATAAAATTAAACTGTATCAAACTAGATAAATTTTTTCGTTACAGCTATTGAAATTTCTTAAAAATCAAATTATCTATATTTTCAACAAAAACTATGAATAGCATACCATTCACTGTGATGTAATCGACAATTAAAACTTAACATTTATAGATAGCAAATATGAGCGCATCTTAAAGTTTACATAAAAAATACTCTCATATTAATCGTACTTTAAATTCCAATTCAAGTTTATATTTTTAACTTTCATTCATCATGGAATATATTTTATAGGCATACAGCAGTGCTATAATAGTTTAGTATATAGTATGCATTAACCTATCAATCATGTTATCTTCGATGTCACAAAATTATAAAAATAAAAATAACAAACGGTCATGATGGATATTATTTTCTAATACATAAAGTTTTTTGCAAATGTTATGATCTTACCGCTTTTAAACGTCAAAACTCTATATTTATTTGGTGTAACAATCAGTATAGATACAATGTAAAGAAAGTTGATTAAAACTTAATGATCGATATCAATCTCCTCCGAATCGGTATTGGAAATAAATCGAAGATGTACTACACAATATTCTTAGATACGGACAACTATTGAAACAATAAGCCTTTTATTACTATTTTGTATTATAATTGAATATTTCCTACATCCGTCATGGGTATGCTTAAAATGTAATTGAAAAAAAATTAACCGACAAACTATTTACTATTTACTGATTTGAAATGCATAAATGTTATTCTCAAAGTGAACAAATAAGTTAACGTATTCGTCATTTGACAAGATTATTTAAGATTAATATAGGGAATTTTACTGTTCTTTTCATCTTACTAAATATATTCATGTAATATATTATATGCTTTATATTAAATTTGATGCTCGACTATCCAAATAAACAAACATTAAACATCAAGTAAAATTCTTAGTATTGCTTTTATACTTTAATACTCATTGCATAATTTAATCCAAACCATTTGAATTATAACATTTAATTATTTTTCTCTTTTCGAGTGCAAATAAAGTAAACTATGCCTCATATACATTTATACATATAACTTTAATATGTAGCTAAATGAAATTAGTATCTTATTTATACTACTACATTATTAACACTAAGTATTCAAACATTGAAAATATTTAATCATTTGATAAACCTTACCTTTTTAAAAATTGAACAATGATCATTCACAATCCTAAAACAAAAAAGAACAATATAAAGTTACTTAGTACGTGATTATTATTATTCTTTTATTTTCATCATTGATATTGTGTGAATTCTGACTTAAAAATTGTCTTGATAAGATAAAACAAATAAAGACTTATCGTGATAATTTACTTGCTCTCAAATTTTTTAATATGACAGTTCCGTGTTTTCTACGTTTTCATTTTTAAATATATATGTTAACATTCACTATCTTAAGATTTAAAAAAAAATAAATAAAGCATACTCTTAAAATTTGCATTGTCTATATTAAAAATAAATATCCATAATTATTTCTTAAACATGTTAAGAATTATTATTTTGATAATTTTAAAAACATAAATTTTCTATATTATCTGACAAATTTCGTTAAAATGTTCTGTACAAATTTCAGATTTTCTTTCACCCTACAAGTCGAATATCAAATTAATAGTTAATAGTTAAAATTATACAATTACAAAATTCTTTATATTATACATTTTCCGCATGCAAATGTCTATATAATAATAACCATTCGTATGTAATTTATGTTTACAAATAAATATTTAGTCTAATTATGTTTATACTACACATAAGACATCTGTATGAATGTTAAATACGACATATATGATACCTTCTATTGTGGTCATAAAAAAAATGGGAAAGTTTTGTGCAACACGTACTTCAAGATTTTACACTGAGCGAGTATAGTTCTTTGAAAGAGTCATTTTTTTAATTCTCTTATAGTTTGCAAGAAAACCTTGACAAGAATTGAGGAATGCCATTTTTTTTTTTTTTTTTTATCTAATTCTTTTATATTTAAACCAAACGCAATGTTTTTCGTATGACAAACCTTTTTCATATGAATTTAAAATAATAACCGATTGAATTCAATACGTATAGAAATATAAGAATGATTTTTACAATTATTTTCCGTTTTCGAATAACTATATAAAATTTGGTGTTCTCGTTATGTAATTATTTCCGAATGCGTTGCTACAAAGGTGTCATTGTTCTTACCAATGGAAGAAATTTTCTTATTTTTTATTTCAGTAAAAGAAATATACTACGTTCCAGACGAAATAATCGTCCACATGACATTGATGAATACTTGATTTACGTGATAAACATTCAAACCACACGCAAAGACTTCTATCTGACTGTACGCACATATTAATACAATTCAATTCCACTGTTATATTTATTGGACTACCAGATCTTATACACGCCTAGTTTGCTATAATTTATTGACTACGAGATGAATGTTAAAATATGAGTAACGTTTTATACATTAAATTTAACTCCATAATATAGATAATAAAATGGATTATTCAATTTCCTTTACTAAATAGTTTTAATAATAAATGTATAGAAAAATATTAGACTAGATGTTTGTATATATCAAGGTAATCAATATATAACTATATATTTAAAATATGATTAAATAATAATAATAATAATAATAATTCAATAGAAATAATAAAAAGTGTTGATCAAGCAGCGTTGAAACATTGTTATACATTTATTGTAATTAAATATTGTTTATTATTGACTTAGTTGTATTTTGCAATTAGTTTTTAAATAAAATGATAAATTATCGTTTAGAATATAAATTAATATATATATATATATATATATATAAACAAAAAAGTCGACCATTACCAACTAGTGTATGTACTCGGCAACAATTTTCAATAATATGTAAACAAATTATTTAAATATAAATAAATGTAGATTCAATTGAAATCTACAAAAAAAGACACCGATGAATACTCAATTTATTTACATCTTACTGCAATGCATTCAATAACACCTATACAAATATTAAAAATATTAAATAAATATATATATATATATATATAATCAATTGATAAAACGAATTATAATATTTTATCATAGCAACATAAACATTGAATATAAAGTTTTTTTGTATGATAAACTTTTTGTGTACATTTTTATTATACTACATTTCAATACCCAAACAAAGTTTTATTCACTGTATGTTATGTTATTATTTTAAATTTTCTCGACAATCTAGTTCATACAAACCGTCGGATAATTCATAAAATAATATTGTTTGCCACTTTTAGGCGATAGCTTAATTTTGGTAAACAAATATTTTTCAGAAAATACAATTTTTCATAGCCAAATTTACATAGTTTCATTGAAGTTTTTCCGTACACGTATAAAACACGCAATCCCTTAATAAATATTAAAATAATTCAAAGGATGTGCAATATTTTATAACAAACACGAGAAAAATACATTTTAAATCATATAATGTACTGTAACATTATTCATGAATTATTATCTAAAGAAAACCCGATATACGATAATTTCAAAAATGCATTTTTTCTGTTTGTTAGTTTACGAAAATGTTCTCAAAACTCATAAACCGCAGTAAGTTGAAATTGTTTAATTGTTCATAATCACTAGGGTATGATGCAAATAGGTAATATTACAATTTCAACAGTTTTATTGAACATTGTGATTTTCTACGTCTGAGTACAATTCTATGGCTATAACCATTAGTCAAAATATGTCTAATGACTGTAATAACTATCGAAAGTATGCGTAACGATTAAAGAGTTCGATTGTCTATAAACAACAACCAAATGCGAGATAATGGTGACTTCTTGAAAATGATCAGCACTCGGTCTTGCGTCGTTCAATGCCTGCCGAGTTGATATGGAAAAAAAATTGTGTTCATAATCGCGGGGCGACCGTCGCGACAGAAAATTACGCGTGTAAGTGTTTTGAACACGTCGCGGCACACGGAAATATTGCGATTCGCCATTGTATACATACCACAAATTATACCTCGGGTGACATCTGCAGAAGTATTCTATTATCCCGGACCAGTCGTGTCGCCGAAAACGGTTTGACAGTATTCCGGTCGTTCTACCGTATCGGAGTTGTGTAATATCAGATAAAGTTCTATGGTATTTCGACCGCTTCGGCGAGACGGTTTATCATCGCGTTGGGGAAGGCGAACCGGAGAATTATTACGAGTTATCCTTTCGCGGGACCGTCCAACGTCTCGAGTCAACCGTGCATCGTTTTTCTCTCCCCGGAGGATGTACGAACACCGTTGTACAATGATAATTTTTACATGTCTTTCCGGTCGACCACGACATAATCCTTTTCACGAGCCACCGAAGTCGGGTGCACACACTTACTGAACTGCGTCAAGTTCGAGACAGTTTAACTTGCACATATGTATGTATATATATATATAACCGCGAGGATGTCATCGGGGATCCGGTGGCTTTTCTGCCCACAGATTCCGAGCACTCCTCTTGGGAGAGAATTATGCTAAGTTCAATCGAAACACGTATGATCCAACGTATACGAGTTGAGCCAAGTACAAGTTGCGTTGCCGATCGCCAGTCAAATGACAGCTACCGAATAATACCATAAACCCTTCTACCATCCGAACGCACGGGTTATCTGCATAGATGTCTAACTGGAATCGATATATCGTTATAAATTTGTTCCGCGTAATAAATTAGTCAAAAAATGTTTTCTACGCCACCGTGACCAATATAATTTTAGTCCAAATTAATAAATTATATTCTCTAAAACAAAACGTTGATTGTATTTTTTTGTAAGTAATTTTCTTTAGTAAACCAAAATAAGTGGTTCACTTTATTTTATTATATTTTATTTATTGTTTTACATATAATCAGCTTTATCAACGCAACTATTAACTCATATTTAAATTTGTGGAATTTACATATCTTTGATACTTTTACATTTTGTATTGGTTATTTTTTTACTGTTTACATTAATTACATTAGACTTTCTAATAATAAGTGTGGCAATTTTTTTAACTACAAAATATATAAAAAAAATATTAAGATGTTGACGGTTATTATTTTTTCCGGTACCATCTCTTCAATGGTAGATAGCATTTTTTAACAGTTCATTCTGCTGCATACTCGTATAAGGGAAACATTTGAAGACATTATACAAGTATGTTTAATTATATTGATATGCTCACTACTTCTATAACAAATATGTCTTAAATATATAAATCAATATCGTTTGAAATGTATATTACCTTAAATATTTTCTTAAAATAATATCTACTAAAGAGTAATAAGATACTATTTATATTTTCGTTCGACTCTGATTGTTCGTTTATTTATTTATTTATTTATTTATTACTGTTTATTTACAAGCTAGTTAAGTAAATATATCATTTATTGATAGATGTTTCATAAAAATTAAGCTACGATACAGCCAAATTAAGCATATAAAGATCATAGAACACTGATATGTTTAATACACATAAAATAAACTTACTCTGCGGAATATAATTACTCGTTTTATTGGTTGGAGTGAAAATAGTTGTAAAGGAAACAACCAAAGGATGTTCGGGAGTACATAACATAAAATAAATTATGTTGTCACATTCAAAAATTAATTTTTTTACCTAAGTATTTATAAACATATCAAATCCTATCATCTCTTTTTTTATTCGTTATCGAATATTATTTGAATAAGAAAATGTATTTATAAATTTACAAGTTGTATCATCCATATCAAATATGTCAAAAAACTTTCAACAATCGACTTCAGATTATTAAATTATATGTTAACTGCATACACGAGTTTTGTCCATTACTTTGGATATAAGGATTTATGTAATCTCAAGCTGCCTACAATAAGAAAAAATAACTAAAACTATTCGGTGAAGATTAAATGGAGCTGTAGACTCTCATAATATTCACAATAAGATGTATAGCATAAAAAGAAACAATTAATAAATCTCAAGCAAAAGATAACTGTTCAGTGATATAATTTAATTAGCACTAAAAATAAGTGATACTATAATATAAAATAGATTTCATAATATAAGAAATAATTTAAATATTTGTTCAGTTCACCGTCTGGTGCGTACCTATCATATTTTAAATGTTCGTACTATAATTATCACTATAATCCATTGGTCATCAATCAACATAACAAGGGATCATTGTTACCATTGGTATTTTACATTTTCTAATT